GAGTTCACCCCTATTCTGAGCGTGAATCTGTCATATGCAAAGATAGGTTTCTAGCACTTTCGAGCATTTTGTGTAGGTTTGAATCAGCCTCCTCCACCCTCCTCTATCTCAGGTACATCGCAGTGCACCCAACCACACTTAATGCTTGCAGCGCCAGTGTCAGGAAGGAACTATTGATTCATAGTTCCCAGGGAAGAATCTGACACTTTTTGTATAGATCCTTGAGATACGAGTCAGAGCTACAATCTGCCCCTCCCCATCTGCTCCCTAGACACTGAGGAGAGACAGAGGTTATAGAAATCACCCAGGCCCTGTTAGTGGGACCTAGAGGGCCCAGAGAGTGGCAGGATAATCACCAGGGCTGCGTTTCCCAAAAGCATTGTTCACCTAAGTTGATCGTAGCTCCATTGGTGACAATGTTTCTATGATCAACTTAGGCTTACGATGCTTTTGAGAAACGCAGGCCAGAACAGTCAGGCTAATGACAAGTGGGTTTGCTTGAGAGAACTGGTTAAAAAAAGGCCTATTTATACTGATCGAAATAGGCAAAAAAAAAAAGACTACTCACAGTGGTTTGTGTGTAAATGCATTTACATTTACACACAACCTTTGTGTGTAAAGGCGAAAGTTATCTTTGTCCGTCTTGTGCTTTCTGTGTTTATCGACAGTGTAACTCTCCTTTCACAGCGTTGCTGGTTCCGGAAGTATTTTATCCAATAATTTTCCCCATAATTATAGTTAAGTTAACAACTTCATTAATCCCACAAGGGGCTTTAATTGCCCCTTGTGGGATTAATAAAGTTGTTAACTTAACTATAATTGTTTAGAAAAAAGTCTCTAAGACGTGAAACAAGCAACCAGCTACAAGGTGAATAACAACAATGCAAACTTGGATTTGAAACAATGTAATTGAAGATCTGACAAAAAGACAAAGATACAAGACTGAGTTCTTGATGAGGGAAAGAACTACAATCCCATGAACCATTGTGAATGACAAATTAACAAACGAAGAAGAAAAAAAAAACTATCCATTTAAAGTTGTTGATTGTATATATATCCACCTTATTCTTGAACACAGAAGTAAGCCGATGGACTTCCAGTTCATTAGCCGCTATAGGGGAAGAATAACAACGTGCAGTAAATGGTAAAAACTGTTTACACTACAAACTGGTGTGTTCATAATTAAAGGGGTCATATGATGCAATTTCAATTTTTCCTTTCTCTTTGGAGTGTTACAAGCTCTTGGTGCATAACGAAGATCTGTAAAGTTGCAAAGACTAAAGTCTCAAATCCAAAGAGATTTTCTTTATAAAAGTTAAGAGTCAACCACGCCTACCTAAAATGGCTCGTTCTAACACGCCCCCACATGTCTATGTCACGATGTGGGAAGATTTGCAAAACGCCGCCCAAATGTTCACGCAAAGAAAGATTCTCGCTGTAGTATTGTTGTTGCCGCCGCCGACATGTTGTGAAGGCAGCTGTGTGTTTCATGTGAAAGCGAAACTACTTTGTTTGGCCTTCCAAAAGAGGACGATATCTGCTTCGTCATGCCTTGAGCTGTGGCATGCCTAGAGCTGATCCGTGCTGGTCGCTGAGGAAATACATCAACTGGATCGGCTTTCACCGTGGACGTAGCGGAGTCCAGCCCGGGGTCGTCACATGTGGTTGCCGCAAGCTCGCCGGCCGTGCCATTCTCAAGCCCGCTGGCCGCCGTCACTTTAGCCCGTCAGCCTCCACTCACTCTAGCCCGCGGCCGCTGCCGCTCACTCTAGGCCTCCGGCCTCCGCTCACTCTAG